ATTCACTATGTAGCCCAGGCTGGACTTGAACTTGACCTCCTGGTCATCTCTTGCCTCAGCCTCCCAATTGTTGGAATTATAGGTATGTGCCATCATGCCTGGTTTAGGGTCAGCTTTTTTTGGGGGGGGGGCAGAACTGGGGATTGAACTCAGGCTCTTGCACTTGCCAGGGAGACTCTTATTCCACTGAGCCATCTCCCTGGCCTCTAGGGTCAGCTTTTTTTGGGGGGGATCTAGATACTTTATTTTTAGGGTCAGCTTTTGAAGCAAGATTTCAGCAGGATGGTTTGGCAGAGAAGCAAATGAAAGGACAGTGTGCATGTTCTGATCAAGGGATGCTGGGTGTCCATACTTCGCCTAGCCATTGCTGTATGCATCGGTCATTTCTTTTTCTTTTTTGTTTTGCTTTGCTTTCTTTGCAGTGTCCATTTGTAGTGAGCTAAATCCCCAACATTTAATTTTTTTTTTTTTTTAAGGCAAGGTCTCACTATGCAGTTCATATGGGCCTTGAACTTTGAGTTATCTTCCAGCCTCAGCCTCTCAAGTGTTGGAATTATAGCCATATGCCACCATGACCCTGGCCTTTTTTTTTTTTTTTTTTTTTGGTGGAACTGGGGATTGAACTTGGGCCCTTGCACTTGCCAGGGAAGTGCTTATTCCACTGAGCCATCTCCCAGGCCCCCCCCCTTTTTTTTTTTTTTTTTTTGAGATAGGGTCTTGCCAGTTTACCTATGGGCTGGGCTCAGAGTTAGACTGTCTGCCTTCAGTCTCTCAGAGTGTAGGATAACAGGGTACCTGGATCAGTGGTATTCATTTAATCATAGCAGTTCCAGTAACAAAGGATAGCAAGGTAGATGTGCATTATAGATCCAGTTAAGAATTTGGGCAAATCCCTGACGCTAGACCTTTAAAACAAAGAATCATCTGGACCTGAAGGTGGACATTTCTGTGAAGGTGATGGTAGAAGAACCAGAAGTTTGCCTGTCATTGCACCTTAGAGCAGTCTGACTTCATTGGCTGGAATAGGCTCCCTTCTGCCACACTCTCTAGTCCTCAGGACTCTGCCTGGGTGGGTGGAGGCAGGAAAGGCAGGGAAAGTGACTAGTGGGCCTCCTGCTGAGTTTGGAACCCTGGGTAGAACCGCACTTCCCGGATGCGAGCCCTGCGGGTCCAGGGCAGGGCTCATCTGGGGAACTCTGGGAGGGTACGCCAGGCTGGTCAGTGGATGTCTGTAGAGGCCTTGGAAGATGAAACCCTGCATAACCACTCATTGTTTTTGATTTTTTGGACAAACCAGTACTTTAGTCTCTAGGGGTTGTTGATCTGGCTGCTTTGTACTAGCCTGGAATTTGCTGCAAACTGAGTAGGAAAAACAAAACAAAACAAAAAACAAGCCTGAGGAAGGTTTTCAAAAACAACTAAAGCCAAAAAAAAAAAAAAAAAAAAACTTCTTTCTGGAAAACAACTAAATTCCCACCGAGCCCCCGTGCTTTGGCTCATAGGAAGGATTTTTCCCCATCACCTTTCACATTCTTGAGCTTGGGTGCAGTCTGTCTTGACCTGTTCCTTCACCTCCTGAGTTCGGGGTGTGTGCGTCTCTGGTTCCCAGAGTATGGACAGGACCAGTAGCAGGCATGTGGTGATTGTGGAAAGAGCCGATGTGGGCCTCCTCCAGGCTCAGGGTGGGCTGGCATGAGGAGGGAGCCCCCAGTTTGTGCTGTTCAGGGTCGTTTCTTTGGCTGCCTTGTGCTGTGGAGCAGGGAGAGAAGAAGTGGGGGAAATGTATCTGTTTCTGTCTCTTGGGAGCAATGGCTGGTGGCTAGGTGGTTGTGTCTTCACCGTGGTTCCTGCTTCACCCCTTCATCCTTTCAGTGCACATTTTCCCCCAGGAAGATTAAATTGTTTTGTGATGTTTCAAAGTTGGAAAGTAGGATCTTCTTATTTTAAACAAAACTAAAATTTCAAAGTAAGATAACAGCAGGGTAACAATGGTTAATATATTGCATATTGTTATCTTTACATCAGTTACTCAGAGAACAAGATACAGGCATATACTTGTCCGTGGACAGTCATTAAGTGCCTCCTATGTACGACACAAACATGCAGTTTGAGTGAGGGCACTACTCTGCGTACAGTAATACCTCAGTTCAAGAATGCTTTTGTTCTCAATTCCACTCTCAGAAGTGGGAAATTTTGCTTCCATTCACAAATTCCACATTGGGTGATAAACAGAACTTGGGTCATTTTCCTCAAAAAACACAAAGCCACAGTATGTAAAACAAAGTTTATAGGGAGACGGTGCAGTGGAATAAGCGCTTCTCTGGCAAGCGCAAGGGCCTGAGTTCAATCCCCAGTTCCACAAAAAAAAAAAAAGTTTATGAGCCAGGAAAATCACTATATTAGGGACACAGCAGTGAACTGAGCATAAATAAGCTGACATAGGAGGGTAAAGAACTATAGCAAGAAGCCACTAGATCGTGTCAGATGGTGACCCATTGTTTGGGGCTTATACTGGGCATTGCACTCTTTGTACTGACCTGCATCTTCAGTCCCTTTTTACTTTTTGTTTGGAGACAGGATATCCCTGAGTTGCTGAGTTGCCTAGGCTGGGCTAAAACATGGTGACTTTGTCTTAGCTTCCCAGAGCTCTGGAATTACAGCTGCCTCCACTGCACCTGGCTTGGTGTAAATGCTGTGAAGAAAGTTAAAGTGGGGTTAATGGAGTACAAAGTGATGTTTGTGCTATACGAGTCATTAGGGAAGGCCTCTTCAGTAAGTAGCATTGGAACAGACACCTGAACGAGGTAAGCATGGGGGCCACAGCGGCTTACTTGGTAGAGGAGCGTTCCAGGCAGAGGGCATGGCAAGGACAAAAATGAGGCAGGAAAACTGTGGGCAAGTTGCTGTGCAGCCAGATAGGGGGAGAGTGGAAGAGATCTTAAGAGAGCTCTAGGGGAGTGTAGATCTCACAGGACCTGTACGCTGTGGCGTGGACTATGGGTTGTACTGAAAGGGAGCTTCAAAGCCAAGAGAGTTTTGTTGTTTGAAGTGTTGGAGATGGTGTGTTCTGGGCAAGCATTCTACCACTGAGCTGCATCCTCAGCTGTGTTTTAAAATTTTATTTTTGAGATTGTGTCTTGGAAAGTTGCCCAGACTGATTTTTTTTTTTTTTTTAATTTGTGTGTGTGTGTGTGGCCAGCTCAGGCCACCAGGGGGCGGGGCTGGCTGGCATGTGGCACTGGGGGATTGAACCGTGGTCCCTGTGCTTTGCTAAACTTGTTCTAAGTAGGTGCTTTAGACCACTGAGCCATCTCACCAGCCCCGCCAGACTGATTTTGAACTTGGCTATCCTGTCTCAGCCTTTTGAGCAGCTGAGTTTACAGGTTTGCAGCACTGTACCTGGAAAAAGAATTTTCAATAGAGGAAACGTATGACCTGACTGGTTTTAAAATCACTCCGGCTTTGAGATGACCACCCCACCTCTGGAGATGACCAGGCAGCTCTCATTGTGTGGGCCACAGTGGTCTGAGCTCTGTCTGGCTGGAGAGAGGGTTGCCTTCACCCACATCCCTACTCTTAGGTACTACTGTATGTGTGTTCAGAACACAACTTTAACAGTAGGTAGTGTTTAGAGTGTAAAGATCAGCCTGTCTTAGGAGTTCTGTTTTCTTTTTTTTTTAAATTTTATTTATGTGTGTGTGGGGGGCCAGCTCAGCCCACCAGGGGGCGGGGCTGGCTGGCATGTGGTGCTGGGAGATTGAACCGCAGTCTCTGTGCTTTGCTAAGCTTGTTCTGAGTAGGTGCTTTAGACCACCGAGCCATCTCACCAGCCCATGGGGTTCTGTTTTCTTGTTTGGGTTGGTGTGGTTTTTTTTTTTTTTTGGTGGATTTTTTAATCTTTTTTTGATACAGGGTCTTGCTATCCAGTTTGGATTCATACTGAGCTATCTCCCCAACCCTGCTTATTTCTTTCTTGCTTACACTGTTATGGGAGGGAGATGGAATTGTAGACTGTAGGCAAGGAAGCAGCAGCCTTGTGACTAGAAAGGAGAGCATGAACCTTGGGAATCTGGCTGGCTTGAACTTTGTCAGAAGTCACAGAGAACCACTCCTCATTCCAGCCTTCCTCTCCCACCCCAAATCTTGGGGTAAGGTTGGGGGAGGGAGGAGCATAAGTGATCTCGCGCAGCACCTTTGGGTGTAGGATAAAACTCAAAGCTGATGGGACTGCAGAAGTCACCCTGCTGAACTCTCAGTTTATAGGAGCAGACCTGGAAAGAGAAAGGCACTTTCTCAGTCACATGGATGTTCCAGATGGCAAGGACCCTGAGCATCCCTGCTTTGTCTCTGCCTGTGGAAGCCCAGGCTGTGCCTGCGTGGCTCTCCTTTGTCACAGGTGGACTCCAGCTATGACTTGCCCTGGATGTGAACTTCTGGCAAGCACATGGTGGTAAGGAGTTTGCTTGTCTTTTGCCTAGGACCAAGCCCTCCACACCAGGGACCAGGCCAAGGCCAGGCTGCCACTGCCTCCACTCGGGCCGCACCCTAGGGCGCAGCTGCGGTGACCATGGGCAACATCTTCGGGAATCTCCTCAAGAGCCTGATTGGGAAGAAGGAGATGCGCATCCTGATGGTGGGTCTGGATGCCGCTGGGAAGACCACTATCCTGTACAAGCTGAAGCTGGGAGAGATCGTCACCACCATCCCCACCATTGGTAAGGCGTGGCAGGACGCTCGTTGCTGGTGACGCCTCCTAGCCACTTCTCCCCAGGCAGGTGTATGCACTTCACAGGCCCTGCCATTTCCCCTACTCTGGTCCTCCTGATGGGAGAACTTCCACAGCCTGGCACTCCACGCTTGCTCTCAGCCTAGAGCTGTTTTGTCCTCTATGTTCTTTGGAAAGCAGGTGAAGGTCTCTGATATTTCTGCCAGAGGCCTCAGATTGCTTTGGACCTTTGGGCTGATCCTGATCATGACCTGCCTGTGGGAGGCAAAGCATTGGCCACATGGTTGGGGTCTCTGTATCAGCACCTGCAGCTTGATTTGCATTTGGGCATCAAGACTGTACCTGCGGCCGGGGAGATGGCTCAGAGTAGGTGCTGACAGGCCTGAGTTCGATCCCCAGCTCCACCAAAAAAAAAAAGACTGTGCCTTACCTCTTATTCTCTACCTGCTCTTAGCTCCACATCTTAGTTGTAGCAGACTCTGGTGGCCAAGGTACAGGAGTGGAGCTGAGTCATTTTTCCTTAGGAACAAGGGACACCGTCTGAGCGAGGAGTGGAGCAGGTCGGCTTACGTTTCGTAGGCAGCTGTGCACTTCTGATCAGACTGCTTCGGTCCCCTTTGACTTTGGGCTTTCCTTTGTTGTTGTTATGACCTGTTGGGTTTTCCTTCTCCCAAAGGGTTCAACGTGGAAACAGTAGAATATAAAAATATCAGCTTCACAGTGTGGGACGTAGGTGGCCAGGACAAGATTCGGCCCCTCTGGAGGCACTACTTCCAGAATACCCAAGGTATGGCTGATAGACTGCCTGGGACTGGCATGGGTTGGGTGGGGCTAAGCAGAATGTGGCTGTCTTCCTTGATTGTGGGCAGCCAGCCCTTGCCGTGTGATAGCTGTTAGGGATGGGCAGGAGGAGGAAAGAATTCAGCTGTTGGGACTGTTTGAGGGTGTGTGAGCCTTCGGTGGTGAGGAGAGGCCACCTGCCATCTCTGTAGCACCTGCTCTGCCCCCCTAGGCTTGATATTTGTGGTTGACAGCAACGATCGGGAGCGAGTGAACGAGGCCCGGGAAGAGCTGATGCGAATGCTGGCAGAGGATGAGCTCCGGGACGCCGTGCTTCTTGTCTTTGCCAACAAGCAGGTGAGGCTCCTACAGAGCCTTGACTTTGGGAGAAGCTGGCCTGGCCGGGGACATCATGGAGGCAGGCTTTCAGGCTGGGAAGTGAGGAAATGTGAACCTTGGACTTCTTTATATGCCTCCTGTGCTACACCTGTCTTTATGTGGTCTTCAGGGGTTGGGCTGGTGGGTGCGTCGCCTCAAGAAGTTCTTCCCTTTTTCCTGTAACGCACTTCACTAGAACTTCCGTCTCTTGCTGCCAGACGGATTTGCTTCTTGGGCCGTGTTAGGTTACTTTTCCGTTCCATGAACCTGCACAGAATTTGGTGTCAGCTTCTCAGTGGGGTAACCCTAGTGCCTTGGATCTGGGGATCCAGGATGACTGGGTCCAAAGCAGAGCCCTGGCTCTTGTTCCAAGTTCCCCAGAGTAGAGATGAGGGAACGGTGCTGGAACACATCCCTTTGGCAGGTGGGTGCTCTCCCTTCTCTGGAAGTGCTGCAGGCTCTTTTTTGTGTGTCTCCTTCACTCTTTAGGATCTGCCGAATGCTATGAACGCTGCCGAGATCACGGACAAGCTGGGCCTGCACTCTCTGCGCCATCGCAACTGGTACATTCAGGCCACCTGTGCTACCAGTGGGGACGGGCTGTATGAAGGCCTGGACTGGCTGGCCAATCAGCTCAAAAACAAGAAGTGAGAGCCAGACAGCCTGTCTTCCCATCCCGCCCACCCCTGACGTACCCACGTCTCCCTGCCCCAGCCCCTAGCCCTTCCCACTGCAAGTGTGGCCGGGGCCCTGGGTATCATGTCCGCATGCCCAGTCAGAGCCTTGCCTCCCCTGCGTCCCTTCTGTCCCCATTGACGTGACCAGTCCCCGATTGCTGTCCTGATGCTGAATCATTCCAATTTACTGGATTTAAAACAAAAACGAGGTTGTTATGGTTTCATGGGGTGGCCCCTCTTTCTCTCGCCCTCTGGGTCTTGGGAGGTGGGGCAGGAGATTCTCCATTTGCTTCATTTGGCACTGGTTGCTGCGCTCTTGGCGTCTGAGTGCACCACAGGCCCCTACCTGCTTCCTGTCTTCCTTTTCTTTGATACCCTCTCCTGTTGTACATGGAAACCACATGGGCCTCTGTGTGTGCGTGCATGTATGCGCCTGTATATACGTGTATAGAGAGATATATACATGGGAGCTGGGGGGAGTGCAGCTCAGCTTGGGGCTGCAGCCAGGACCCTGCCCACTAGAGCTGGTCCTCTGCTTCGTCCATGCTGGTGAGGAATGGGGAGGCAGGTGGGGCTGCCCTGTCTTCTGTCTGCAGTGGGTGTTCCTGGATGGCAGGACAGATGACAGATTCTCTGCTGCCATCTTCCTGATGCCCTTTCTCTACCTTTCTCAGGGCAGGGGGTGGCATTTCTCTAGATGACTGTTCCCAAGGAGATGCCATTCTGTTTTGCCTTGTTAGTGGGAAGAAGAGAGGAACCCACTCACTCTTACCAGCCCGGAGTGTTCAGCAGATCCACCTCCACCATCCCTAGATCTGTTCCTCTGGAGCTTGAGGGGGAGGTAGGGCCAGCAAGACCCATGTGTGTTGAGGACCCAGGACCCACGGTGGGGTTTGGTGCCACTGGGGAGGCCTTGGGTTTTCCTCTTCATTCTTTTTTGTTCTTAGGGGAAGGTAAAGCCTGGGTCAGTGTTATCCCTCCCTTCCTGTTCCTTCTCCTTGGGCTTGGGGACTGGGTGGCTTCATTTGTCCTTCATCAAACTTTCTCATTCTAGCAGCCCTGCTGGCCTAATCAGGGCTGAGTGGCATAGGATGCTATGAGTTGAGGGTGAGATAGCAGACCTCAGTATCAGTCCTCCTCCAGCTTTTTGTCTTTTCCCAGTTTAGGATGAGCTAAAGGATGAAGGTGTTGTGTTTTGAAGTCTGCAGACCACCCTGGCTGTCTCCTCCTTTCCAACAGCTTCCCTGACTTCCCTATGTGGAGGTTGGAGGGAGGAAGGTGGCTCCCATGGTGGTTATGCTGTTGAGATGCATTCGTCTTGGGACCCTCCTCCCATTGTCCTGTAGTTATTCAGAAGCTGCTGCTGTGTCCCTTTGTGCAGAGGGGATTTGTCCCTCACACCCTGGCTTGGGTCCTGCTTTCTGCACTGGCTGTTCCTGGGCTCCTGTGTGTGCTGGCTGCGCCCTGAGCTCCAAGACAGCTGCCCATGCCTTTAGGCTAAGGTCGGGGCCTGGGACTAGGATGGGGTGACAGATGGACAAGCTCTGCCTGGCTGCGCGACCCTTCCCTGGAAGGCTGTCCTGTGCCCCACTCTGTGGGACCAGGATTCTTGTCTCGAGCAGGCAGATCAGTGCTCCTGACCACCCAGACTGACCCGTGGAAAGGTTCCAGGGGTGTTTCCCTCCGTGCCAGTTACTTGGTGATATGTTAGCCAAGACACGGGGGGTCCAGGTTTCTGACTCCCAAGGCCTGTGTGTGTGTGTGTGTGTGTGTGTGTGCGCGCGCACGCGCGCGCGTGTGCATGTATGTTCACATGCGTTTGTGTTTGATGTGTATGTATGCGGGTGCTGGAAGTCCTGTTTCACTTTAAAATGGGTTCACTCCTGACCTCACAGAAACTTCCCTGCATACTTTCCCTCTGCGCTGAGTTTGTGCTGTCCCGCCCCACTGCTGCTCTCTGTACTTTCCTTTGCCTTCTCAGAGTATTCACAGCTATTGCTTGTTTGTCCGTCTGTCACCCCCACCCCTATTTATGACTCCATGCTCTTGTCTTTTTGGAGGTGAGGACTGTGCCTCTTTTCCTGCCTCAGCCTTCTGACTCTCCCTAGTCAGATGCAGTTGGATGGGGTTTCCTTTTTTCAGACCTCGCCCCTGTCTAGCTTCTTGGCTCCCAGAGCCTGCCAGTCTGGGGCGGAGGAGCAGAAGCAGCAGGGCTGGAGATTGCCCTCCTGCTGCTCCAGGTCTTTCCAGCAGGGGGCAGCAAGCGATCTTGGCTGTAGACCCTCAGGCAGGGTTAACCCTTTATTCTTTCCCTTTTACCTAACAGCTCTTTCGGGATTGAATGTTTCTTTCCACCTCTGCCCATACCCTCTCCCACCCCCTTGGGTGGGTTTAATTTTTATAGCTCCCTGTTCCAGCTTTCTTCTGGGGACTCCCCTCCTCCCAACCCCAAAGTTTGTGGTGTTTATAGTGATAACTACAGTTCTAAACTGGTTTTTCTTTTTTTTTTTCTTCTCTGGAATGTAGACTATACATGTTTAATAATTCACCTTCTCTGTCCTTGCTCAGAATGTGGGATATTGCAATGACTGTGACCCTGGTTGGAAATTAAACTTGTTTTATGCAGCTTTGGAGCAGACCTTCATCCTTGATGTGCAGCAGCTGGGGTTGGGTGGGGTGTCGTGGTGGCAGCTCCCTGCTCCTCCGCAGAGGGGGCAGGCATGTTTGGTGAGCTGAGGGTGAGATTATGGAGGAATGGGGCTGTCCACAGTGCTTATTTCTTTGTATCGTACCTCAGAGCAAACTTCTGAAGAAGCAGGCACTGGAGTATGAGGGCTCTGTGCTGTGCTGCTCTGTTCTAGAGCCTAGTGCTAAACCCAGATGTGTTTATCACCCATTCTGAACTTTGGGGGCCTCAGGGCCCTGGACCACCCCCTCTCTCTGCTCCCCAGCCCTGGACATCAGGTGCTTCTAGTTCAGACTCGTTCATACATTTGAGTCCTCACAGCCGACTGGGTCAGACTGTGGCTGTGAATAAGCACGAAGGGTGAGTTCACAGTGTAGTGAGCTTAGTGTTCCTCATGATGAGGGTCCTGTGTCACCGCTCATTCCCGCACAGAGTCCTACTGTTGGAGTGCTAAGCCTTACTCTTTTTAGATCTTTTTTAAAAAAAATGTATTAAACAGGGTCTTACTACACAGCTTGGATCCCCATTTCCTGTACTTGCCTAAGCAAGCACTCAGTCTGCTGAGATATCTGTTTTATTTTATTTTGTGGAACCAGGGATTGAACCTGAGTTCCTTGAGGCCCTTGAGCTTGTTAGGGAAGCGCATATTCTACTGAGCCATCTCCCCGGCCCCAGAGATACCTATTTTTTTTTTAATTTTATATATATTTGGTACAGGGTTTCACTCCACAGTTTGGCCTCCCCAGTGCTAGGATTACAGGCCTGTGTCACTACGCCCAGACTCTGACCACTGAGTGTGACCAGGGAGTGGGGCTGGCACGGCCTGTAGTGCTGGGGACCAAACCCCAGTCCTTGTGCTGCCTTAGCAAGTGCTTAGTCCACTGAACTGTCTTGCTGGCCTTTAGGCCTCATTCTGAGATAGCACATATATCCTGGGAAATAGACCTTGTGCATAAAGTCCCTTTCCTCCCATCCCATGCCCACATTGCTTTGTGCTGCTTTTGCAGCTGCTGTTTAATAACAGGTGAAGAAAGGATAGTGTTACCTGTAGGCTAGGTGAGACAGGCAGGCCTCCCACACTCCTATTTTCTTAATCTTTGAGATGGGAAAAAGAACCTAGAAAAAAAAAGAACCTAGAAAAAAAAAAAAACTTAGGCAGTTAATAAACTTGTGATGCTGGATGGTGGTACACACTGTAATCCCAGCAGTCTGGGAAGCTGAAGCAAGAGGGTTGCAAGTTAGAGCCCCTCCTAGGCAATTCAGCAAGACTGTCTCATAATTGTAAAAAAGGGCCAAGGATGTAACTCAGTGGCCTAAGCATCTGCTTGGCAAGCATAAGGTTTGGAGTTCTATCCCTAGTACCCCCCCAAAAAACAAACAAACAAAAAACGGGTGGGGAGATGGGACTGGATCTGTAGTTCATTGTGAAGACCAGAGTTTAGGCCCAGTACCGTTCAGAAAGGAAGTTTGAGAGTCCCCAAGTACCAATGTATAAAGTATATGAGCTGTAAATTACTGACCTCTTTGCTGCTTTCTCTGCCAATTTTTGTTTAGTCTCCCTTCTGTTATTTATAAGCTATGACCCCCTGACGACCAGCATTTCTATCTTTTGTAACCCTCAAACAATTCTGCCATGTGTCTTAGCATCCTTATATCCCTGTAGGTTCAAGCAGTACCCACTTAACTCTCAAACTCATAAACTTTTCCTTCTCCAGGGCCCTTGGTGACAGATGCTAGTAAGGTAGGACCTCCTTTCTCAAGTGCTTGTTTTTTTTTTTTTTTTGTTTTTTGTTTTTTTGTGGAACCAGGTATTGAACTCAGGCCCTTGAGCTTGCCAGGGAAGTGCTTATTCTCCTGAGCTGTCTCCCTGGCCCATCAAGTGCTTTGCTTATATGTTTTTATTTTTTATTTTTTTTAAGAACACTTTTTTTTTTTTTTTTTTTTTTTTTGCGGAACCAGGGATTGAACTCAGGCCCTTGCGCTTGCCAGGGAAGCACTTATTCCACTGAGCCATCTCCCCGGCCTGCTTGTATGTTAATAAGTAACTTCAAGATCTATAGCTTTGCCTTACTGACAGTGGAGTGCCCTTAGCTGAGTGACAGGCCAGAAAGGTTGTTTTGACCCCTCAGCAATTTGGGGGAGAAAATGCTTTACAGTCTCCTGACCCTAGTACTCAGCACGGGGTGCCAGGAAGGAGGTAGAGGCAAGCCCTCTGGTCACGGCAGCCCCACCTTCTAGAACACAAAAGCGCATCCATCTTCTTTTGATGAAGGACCCAGACCCAAGGCATGCTTCAGGAGAGTCTGGGCCCAGGAGCTTCTAGAAACCCGAAGAAAGCCAGTGGGAGGGCTTGGGTTGCCAGGTGGGATGAAGGATAAAGCTGCCCTTTTATTCTAGTGTGTGGGGGCACAGGGAGGAGTGAGTAGGAGTTTCTCAGCTGAATGACAAGGCCGGAAGACTGGGGCTTTTGCTGCTGACTGGTCAAGTGCCTAGATGGGTCAGAACAAAAAGCTGGCAACTTTACTTGGTGCTTTCTGC